GCGGCGGGGATACGCGGGTGCCCCGCGGCCGCGCCGCCGCCCGCCTCTCGCCCCCCCGGCTGCCCCGAACTGCTGGTGGTGCTGGGCGAGCTCAGCCCCAGAGGCGGCTGGCGACTTCAGGCTCTGCTTCCTCGCCGCTTCCCCAGGTGTCAATGCCATGCTCAGGAAGGTGGCGGTGGCTGCCGCCTCCAAACCCCACGTGGAGATCCGCCAGGACGGGGACCAGTTCTACATCAAAACCTCCACCACTGTCCGCACCACTGAGATCAACTTCAAAATCGGGGAGAGCTTTGAGGAGGAGACGGTGGATGGACGGAAGTGCAGGGTAGGAGGAGAGCTGGGGCGTGTGTGTGTGTGTGTGTGTGTGGTGTGTTACCAGGTTCTTTTTAGATGGGACAAACACAGCTGGTGGCAGTGTCCCCAGTCAGTGGCATTGCTGCCCTCCACCCTCTTCTTCCCAGAAACACTCAGGGGGTTACTGATGGTCACCTCTCCTCTTGTTCTTGTCCAGCATTCTCCCTCTTGCAGGGTAAAGCTGGAGTCTGGAGGCAACAGAGCATGGCAGGTCCCAAAGGCAGAGTTTGAGTACGTGCTTCCTAGCTCCTTGGCTGGCAGGGTTTTTTCCAGCTTTTTCTGCTTCCCTCTCCCCTGGAGACCTCAGCTGCAGTGAAAGCTCTCCCAGCCTCTGTCCCTGATGGGAACATGGGGAACAGTGGAGCGAGAGAGACCTCAAGAGTCAGGATTTAACACACAAACTTGACATAAGTTTTGTCCAAACTGATTCAGCTGAGTTCACAAGCAGGACCGCAGACTGTTGGTAGTTTGGGGCCAAAATCCTCTTTCATTCCTTTGCAAGTGCATGTCTCCCGTTTGCTGATCAGATAAGTCTTTAACAGTGTAAGACAGACTTTCAGCAAGTGTTATACCAGCCATAATTACACCATCTCCTAGTGCAGAAGTGCATTTGAGGGCGTTCACTGGAGTGTTTTGGGCTTGATTCTGTGTGTGAGCCCTTTGCTCCTCTACCTTTGTAACCACTTCTGTGGCTGTGGAGGGGGCTTTAAGTCAGTAGCGTCTGACGCCAGCTTCTCGCTGGTGTAAGATACATGGGATCTGGGGTATTGGAGAACTGGGATGTGATCATAGCTGCCGTCTGAAACAGAGTTACCAAAGGTATGGATTAATTATCCTTTCCTCAGGCACTTTACTCTCACACTTAGAAGTATATAAAAACACTTATAAAAGAAGTATGAATAAAGAGCATCAGAATGTAGTCCCAAATGAGGATACAGTTTTAAAAGTATTCTGTGATGGTAAAATAATCTGCTTTCCAAAGTATGATCTCTTCTAATTCTTGGGCCAGCTTCTGACACTATTTGCACTACTAAAATTCAGAACTTACTCTCTCCAGTGCAATTGATGTGAATTTAAATTTATGAAAAGAACAGGCAGATTCTGGGAGTCAGTGAACATTTTGAACATCCACTTAATCTCTAGAATGAGTTATCACATATTTAACAGTTTGTCCAGGAAGTGTTGCTGGCTTTGTTAATTTACCTTATTTGGCAAAAGTAGTATTTTAGTGTCTTCATGCATAATGCATACACAATAAATGTGACCCACTTTCTAGAGAAGGATTTATAGCTGCAGATGGAAAAACAATAATTACGGCTGTAAGCTATGAAAGTTGGAAAAATCTGAAAGAAATGTGTTTTCTGAAGTAGTAAATTTTTTCCGTGTGTTGTGAAATTATTTATAGTCCACTCTCAAGAATAAGTTGTAGGGCTGTGTGTATATAAACAAGATGTGGCCACAGAGCAGAAACTGACAGATAATAAAATAATACTTCAGAATGTAATTTAGAATATCTGGCAAAATTGCTGACTGGTGATAGATTTTGATACACTTTATGGGGTGGAGGTTTTTTTTTCTGCCAACTAACTTGATCCATTGTTCATACAGACAAAGAGCAAGTCATATGTAGATGTACTGCAAGGCATAGCTTCTATAAGTGTCATTTAAGATGGCTTGTTGGCTACAAAAATATTGTTTTGAAAAAATATTTATAAAGTAAACAGCTAATTTTAAATCAAAGTAAAGTGTTTTTCCCTTAGAAAGTCTGGGAAGTGTTAACTTGAATTTATGCACACATGTGCAGACACACACATATACATGTGTATGTATATAATCACAGACTAATGAATGTCTCCCATGTGCTAGTTATAAAGTGATTACTTGCACATTCATTTCAGGGCATCCTTCTGCACAGCTGTTCCACTGCACTGTTGAATAATAGTTCAGTGCTAGAATGAAAAGGAACAGAGTCAGGGCTTGCCTGTTTGTGAAAGCTAAACAAAATCCTATGTGGGGTTTGGGTTTTGTTTTTTTTTCGGTGGTTTTATAGTCATTACTGAACTGCTTGGAAAAATGCCCAAGGATATTTCAATCTCCAGATCCACAACCTTGAAAAAGGAGTATCATAAACACTAGAATTCTAACAAAGTTTCTTTAATTTAGTTGTGATTTATTCTACTTTGTTAGCACAGTGTTTAATTTACAGTTAACTTGGCACAATGCCATATAGCATGAAAGGTTGTAAGTGACAAATACTGCATTATTTATGACCACAACATGATACATATGATTCTTTATGCTTTTACACTAAGAGGACTCTAGTGATAAATAAGATGTCAGATCAAACTCCTCACGTGTACAAAGATGCTTGGGAATGTAGACACTACATTATCACACTTCTAAATGACACTTTTTAACATCAAGCATTTTATGAAAACTGGGTGGCTTTTCAATTTGTAAACAAATGCGGATTTACACCGAAAAGACATATTTACAGTTACTTTGCTATGAATATATACTGTTTCCAAAATGCCCCTTCACACCTTAATTTTGACTTTCACCACTTTCCACTGATGTTTTTTTCCCTTTGCCGTTATCTATGTGTTGCTCCTTTACTGCAGCAATTATTCTCACTACTGCTCATTGTTGTCTCTCTGCCTCATGCTGCTGGGGAATATAATTAATGTTATTCCTAATGGTTTTCTTGCCTGCAGAGTTTGGCCACTTGGGAGAATGAAAACAAGATCTATTGCAAACAAACTCTTGTTGAGGGAGATGGCCCCAAAACATACTGGACTCGAGAATTAGCTAATGATGAGCTGATTTTGGTAAGAACCTTGGACCCACCCAATACATTCACCGTATTAACAGGTTTTTTGTTACCCTGTAGTATGACTTACTATTTTGACTTACTTAAATGTCTGGAAAACTACCATTTTCATAATCCTCTGCAGTAAAATTCATACATCACTGGTTTTGCTTTATTTTTAAATGTTGGGGTTTTTTTTAATGACGAAGATACATGCAGGTTCTCACTTGCATTTCATTGCTGTAACCTTTGCCATACTTTTACTGGTAGAATATTCACGGGTCAGCCACGTCTGCTCTGTAAATTCACACCACCACCAAAGAATTTGCTTGATTTATTGCAGATTTTCTCTGGTGAAAGGGAGATCAAGGCATTTGACTTTGTCTCTGGAGAACCTTCTTTTTTTAGGCATGTGCATAATATGTTGCTTCTTACTGACAAGCACTTGGTGTATAGCAGGAAAGATGTGGCATGTTGTTAGCATGCTTAATCTCGTTCTGTTTATGAACAACATATAATTCTTCCCCCATCTCTGCCACTTTCCTCAATTTCTTGATCATCTCTGAATCCAGTTCAGAACTGCCTTAATGAGTTTCTCAGAAATACACTGAACATTTGCTGTCAGCCAACATCCCCCCAGTCCTGTGTGACCTTCCATATGGTAGCAGGGTCGCTGTAGCCAGGGTGCTGAGCAGTACCACTGCAACTGCCTCATCATTTACGCCATTTATCATGTGCAGTTTATTTATTTATATTGTACTTATTTCTGTTAGGGTTGAGTTCTCTTCAGTAGCCCCTCTATGTTAATGAAACAATATCCAGAACTGGATAAAGACATAGCTTCTCTGAGTTACAAGTAGCACAGTTCAGCCTGAGTTCAGAATCATTTTATTGCACATGTTCTTGCTAGTGAATTCCGGATAAATAGTTGATTAGACTGTTACGCCTCATCAGTTTGGGCATGGAAGACAGGCTGCTGGAGTGGCGGGTAAGAAAACATCAAAGCAGGGAGGTTTTATTTCAGACTATCACACTAACTAAACCTCTGCACTTTAACAAAAAGCCTCCCCAGTGTTTCTCTAAAGCAGTTGGAGCTCTAATTTTAAGATTGCATCTGAAACAAAAACGGGACCCAAACCTAACCAAATATAAACAAAAAGTTTTTAAGGTGTTAATTTTATTCCAGACATCTTGGAATGTTCACCCACCTCTTATGAGGAGGTGTATGCCTTTAGTGAAATCACACTGGTTTCTATTGAATGAATACTCCAATTCTGGATCTTTTGACTCAACCACTGGAATTCCTTATATTATCAGAAAACTTTAGGAGGCAAAGTGCTTTGATCTCTGCTTCACATCTTTATATATAATGCAGTGGGCAAAATATATTTTCAACTATAATTTTTCCAGCTTTCTAACAATACATTTCTGTAGTTTACTATTCAAGCAACAAAGTAGTGAGGCAGCTGTTAACGGCTCCAAGCAAAGCAAGAAAGCCAGTCATAATGCAATTGCCTCCTGCAATCAGCAATGTGAACTTACCCTGCTGGGGAAGAAGAATGAGGTTGGTTAAGAAACCAGACTCAAAGATTATAAAGCCATCTAATCTTTTTTCTTATATAATACAGTCTGTTGAGCTTTTCTGAATTAATTATCTTTCAAATTAGGATTTAAATTAGAAAAACCTGCTTATTAAAATACTTGCATTTATAGGAACTCAACCACAACTTTTGGTAAATTGTATTACTGGTTAATTTTCTTGTCACTAAAACACATTATTTCTAATCTGTATATGTCTAGATTCAACTTCCAGTCATTACATATTATGTGTAAAAGAACCTAAATAATATGCCTAAAGTTTGTTATTGCAAATACTTCTCTTTACAACACTGATGAAGTCATTTCTTGGAAGAACCTTCTCATTGTTAAGCTACACCATTGGAAGACCGTGAGCCCTTCAACATAAAGCAAGCTTTCCTTGAATCATTATTCTGATGTTTCTGTAATCCCCTCCAATTTACCAATTTCCTTTCTAAACTATCAACACCAGAACCACACATACTGTTTTGCTAGAAATCACACTAGCATCTGATGTAGTGGTGACTTCATCTCCCTACTCTTAGCTGAAATTATTCTGATTTATATGCAAAGACTTTGTTAATGCTTCTTTGGGAACTCATGCTCAGCTGATGATGATCCCAAGTAATGTTCCTGTTTTCTGATTCCCCAGACTGATCCCATTCACCTCTCCTGCAAGTTGGGACTATGATCATTGGTTGCAATGTACGATTTTACCATGGCCATTATGAAAACATAATGTTTGCTTCCAGGTGATCCAGATCATTCTCTCTTGTCTTTTACTATTTAAACTATGCAGTTCCATTCTCCTACCTCTTTTCTGGAGCATAATGGCCTTTTTTGCTTTATTAAATATTAGGACATTACTAGGTCCTCAGGATGAAGATTTTCAAGCCTCTCATGACATTTGATGAGACTGAGTGTACAAATCTTTTAAATTCATGGATCAGCATGTTCAAAATCTTCTTACACCCTAAAGCTCAACAGCGAGGTGTTTCTAGGGGTAATGGTGGTGAGTGTGAGGTTTCTGGTCCTTTGGAGAAGTTAAGATGGCCAAAATTAACCCTTCTGGGAGGCACCAAAGGGTTTTACTGTTTGAAGGAAGACAGAAGAGAGTAAGGGAAGCTACGTTTTCTTGTCTGTGGCCCCTAATTTTAGAAGCCTAGTATTCTCTGCAGACCATTATTTGGCCTTTAGAAGCTAAACTACCTGAAGGGATTGGCTGAGGTGTGTTCCTCAACTAAAACAGGGAACAAAGTAGGAATAGGAGCTCTTAGTGAGAACACCCTGTGATCTCTTTTGATCTGTTGTCTCTCAACTATGCTGGGGTTTTTCATCACTCCAGTGAAGAAAGATTCAACCAAGATTATTTTATCTTATGCTTGGAAATTTTCCTTGGATCTGAGTCTGCAAATCCCCACTTACATCTTCTTCAAAACTAAGATCACAGTGAGAAGAAAAGATCTTTCTTTGTCTTCTTTCTTCTTCCATCCTCCCAGCTTTGATAGGGTCCTTTAGGATGTGAAATTCATTCTCATTCAGTTTTTCTGCCCATATGACTTCAAAACAAATATTTAACAATTCCCATCTTCACACTTCTTAAACCTCCCTACTTACCTAAGAAATATTTTCTGTTCCTTTACTCTTTCCGATGTGCTTTGGTAAGCTTTCTCTATTTCAGTTCTGGCAGAGTGCCTTAAATAAGCAGAAGGAAACCACATACTTGTGAACTTCTAGATGTCTGCAGATGGGACGCTGTCTTTATGGGGCAGAGCCTGTGATGTAGCAGTTTAGGAACTCTATAAGGCTGATACTTATTCTCACAGTCTTTGCTCCTGTTCTCTGTCCAAAGAAATCTTTCAAGAAGCCTTGAGTCTCCTTCTTAGCCATTACATGCATTTGCAGAAGGAATCAAGGAAACTCATATTCCGTTTGGAAGAAGTTGCAAGAAGGAATCTAAACTGTGTTAGACTGAGGCATGAATGGAAAAAAGGCTTGGGGCAACAGGCAGGGGGTAAGGAAAGAGTTTTACTCTGCTAATAGTGGCTTCATAAACATTGGAGCTTTGCCACATAATTTTGATCTCATATGCTGCATTGCTTAGGGGGTCCATTTGAGTGTAACATTTTCCTAGGGGAAGAATATATTTTTCTCCCAACACAGCATGTTAAATAAAATGCATTTATTATCATGTACAATAAAAAAAAAAAATCAGTGTTGAATTGTCATGACTACCACAGAGCTAAAATAGAAACCATATTACTGTATAACTATCTGTCTTTCTTGCATCCTAGTAGAAGAATTCCTTATGTTCTTCAAAGATACTCCCTTGGAGCAATATGATGCTCTTCCATGTCACATCACGTCCTCTGGTACACAGATGCTGAGAACAAACTAGTTAGCAAAGGGTTTTTTTACCTTCAGGTACCAGTTAAATTTGCCTTTAGTTCTACTTAGCTCTCTGCAGCATGGAGAATGAGATTATTCTTATTAGCAGCATAAATAATATTTGGCTCGTATAACGGCAGATATAGGTCTGAAGTCCTGTTGGAAAACAGAGTCCTTTAATCTGAATAAGGGAAGAAGGATCAAGCTCTGCTTTATAAAAAAGGTGCTGTGAGTGTGTTAGAACATTGCAACTACTCTCATCAGTGCTGTTTATTCTAATCTCATTTGATATACTTGCTAGGATTTCAGTGCTGCATTTGTAGAAGAACTGAACAATGTAGATTAAAAAATTACATGGAATATGCAATATGGAGGATGAAAAGGATAGAACCCCATCAAAGTCCACATTTGTTTGTTTTGACTGTATCTTTAGATTATATTGTATTGTATTGTACTTTAGGACCGTAATGCATACAGAGTCAGAATATCTGTATTTACAACTCAACATTCATAAACTATACTTGGATTAGCACTTGAGCAATCAAGATGAGAATATAACACCCAAAAAAATTTCCTTGTCTGAAAATTAAGATCTGTAATTAAGTCTATTCTAATATGCTTTTTCTTCCCTTTTATACTCTAGAAGTTTTTGCTGTTGCTGTGTGTTTTTGTCAGGGACATTAATGAGCTATCAATCACTTATGTAAGTCAGAAGAACAAAAGGTCTGCTCTTTACAAAGTTAAAGGACGCTGATTCCAAATGTTAGCTATTCAAATGAGAAACATTTATTTTCAGACTTTATCTCTGTTGCTGCTTTCATGGCTGCTCATGCCTCTATAGATTTTAGTTTAATCTGTAACACGCAAACATTTTAAAGTGGATGATTACTGAAGAGGGGCTTTAAAAACAGCCTCAGACCACATTTTACACAGTTCATGTATCACACAGGGGTTCTCAGAATCAATTATAGCAAGGGTCAAAGATCAGAACATTAGGGGGGTTTCAAGCATGGTTTCTATTCTACATTCCCTCCCCAGAAAAATCATGGTGTTGATTAAAACTGCTTAACTATGGAGCCTAGATGAGTGAGTGAACATTTTTTAAATTATATTGCTGGCTTCTAAAAATTAAACATAGTAGGTGAGAAGGGTCAATGCAGATTTGGAAAGATACTTTGCAGCCGAATGCTGAGATTTGTGATGTGCCTAAGCCTTGTGTTGAACAATGTTAAAGCTACCTAAATGTTGAACTTCTCTATAGTTTTTGAAGAGTGATCTTAAACAAAATCAGGTATCAAAAGAAGGGTCTACTCATAGTGAGGTCAGTGGGGGGGGTTGCTGCTGAACTTGTTTAAACAGCCTTGATAGAAGTTCTGAAGCCTGTAATAATGCATACATATGTGTTGCATGGACCTAATGCTTTAATTTACTACTCACCACGAGCAGATTTACAAGGGGGCATAGGGATATGCAGTCCCTGCTCACTAGCACAGCCTGGTCTGGGTCACATACCAAACACATAAGCAGAGGAAGAAGGCAAAGCCATTTGCATCTTGGATGCATCTGATCCTGTATGTAGCTTAAATGTGAGCCGTGTACTGGCCTTCAGGATTGCTACTGGGAGATACCATTGCCTCATGTTATTACATGCTGCATGACTCTGAGGAAACTGTATAATATAGCAGTTCTCAAACACAAATACAAACATTTAGGCACTTTGATAAATTACCTGATTTTGCATGGTTCTGTTGATTGATATCCTGCAGAAAGCGTGGTTGTATATTGAGTGATTTGCTGTTAATATCCAAGTTTGAAAGCGGTGGCTGCACCTTCTGTGGCTATGGCCCCATAATGATCAACGTCTTTCATAAAACATTATGGGAGTCAGGAGGAGGAAGGAAAAATGCCTATGTCTTTATTGTGAATATTTATATCTTTATTCTGGGTAACATGGAAGTTTGCATGTGGACAAAACCTTTTCTCAGGTTTCATTTAAGTAATAGCTTCTCTTCTCCATTTGTTTGCTGATGTATTCTGTCTTCCTTTTGTGAGTTGCCTCTGCAGGTTGGTCAGTCATAAGCAGATAAGAGGGGATTTTTGCATACACTGGCAGAAGTGATCTTTCCCAGGTGATTGTTTCAATGACAGTCTGCCTAATTACACTGTGTGCTCCACTTATCACAAAGGCTCCTCAGCAAATGTTTATAAAGAAGGCCTTCAAAGAGCAGATTTACCCATACAATAATATATTACTGCCCTGTAATTCTCTTTTAATCTCTAATGATGTCAGTGTTCATCAGATTTTGAGTGAACCGAGAGAGGTCAATTTATTGGATTATCCCCCTGCACAGGGCTTTGTTTGCAGTGTGCTTTGGACTCTTAGCTACAGATTATGACAAGCTAAGTGAAGAAAGCAATTCTGTAATTTGCAGTCATTGCACATTTAAAATCCTATTTTAGATTTAGATAGAAGCCTTGCCTTGTAGCATTTTGTAAGATAAGGGACCTTTGCAAACTGGTGAAAAGGTGGCATTTGAAAATCCTGCATCTTCTCATTAGATTTGGATTGCAGTTTGGTAGTGTTGCACATTTTTAGTTGCTCTGGTGAAACTTCACCACCAAATAGCTAGGATTGCTTGCTCTCTTTCTTTTTGTTAGGAAGTTCTACTCCTTTGGATCATGGAAGTCTTTAGTCTGCTTGTTCTGACAGGAACTATGACTATAGAGTCATAGACACTAAACGGCTTCATTCTGCTCCTGAATACAAGGATTTAAGTGTGAAGGACAGAGGAGTAACAGCCGTTTGATTTGGATCTTCCCCTGAGCTTGGGCCCAGCTCTACATTAAACGTTTCTGTGAGGAACCACAAGAAAAGGAATGCAGCAAGTTTGAACACGTTTCTCTTTGCTTTGTATAGCAAAATTTAGTGGAGTTATATCAGCAGTGCTAGTAAGATAGGGAAACAGCTTTTACATAATTCCACATTTAAACCATGTACATGACCATGACAATCAAAGCCATTTATTTCTGTGCTTCAGTATGGAATTAGGTTGCTAATCATCTGAATGGGTATAAGGTGTAAAATCTCAGTGCTAAAAATGCAGCTTATTCCTGAAACAGGTCAGAGGCCACATAACTTAAGCTGAGTCTTCAAGGAAAGGATGCCAGGCTATTTGAGAAGGGCCCATTGGGTACACAGTACTCCAGTGTAATTGTAATTGGTCTTCGAATGAATTTTATCTCTTTACAATCTAGATTTAAAGATACGATTGTGTTAAATTAGTGTTTTTCCAGACAGTGAGACTGGTGTGTTGCAGGGAATGACAATCCTTGTGTATAGCAACTGATTAAGACTGTTGTGTATTTGTGTTCCCCAGGTTCTGCAGGTTTGTGTTCTGCACTTGTTATCCTGACAGAACAGTTTGAATGCAGTCCTTTGCCTGAGATTTTCAGGAGTGCAGCAGTCCAGCTGGAGCTGGATGTTGTACGTTCAAAACAAACAGCAATTGCGCTTTTTCGCAAGTGTGTCAAGTTGTGACTCTGTGAGTGACTCTGTGAGTGCACAACATTCAGTCTGTGTGTACACACAGTGGACTTGCTGTCTCTGCAATGCACTCTGGAGGCACTCACATTACTGAGCTTTCCCAGAAAGTTGTTATTCCTTTTTTCTTTCTCCACAAATTTTTATCTTTATTTTTACACTGCCTCCTGTGGGTCTTGCAAGGAAGCTGCCAATCAGACTGCACTGATGTCAGGAGCAGGCTCTGCCCAGGAGCGCAGTCTCAGAAGTGGACATTAAAATTCCAGACACTCAGACCTACAGTGGCATCCTAGGACAGACTTGCAGTATGGATCACATGGATTTCAATCTACTCTTCCCTGCAGTGTTCCCTCTCAATACAGCTGCTGATCTGTTGTGAGAATAACTGCTGCTGCACAGGTTTAGGGGAAAGAGTTTGTCTCGATTTCCCTGGAGGAATAGACATAAATTTACTAGGGAGGTTACAAGAGTTTTGGCAAACTGCTGCCGCAGCCTTTCTCATTAGAACTGGCTGGTGTGGCACCCACGCACATCACAAGATGTGGCTGCATAGCTGTGCAGCTCCATTTGTCAGACTGGGGCTGTGCCAGCTCTTGAAGAACACTACACAAAGACAGTTTTACTATTATTTATGATTTGTGTTGAAATAGCAGCGGGGGACCCAAACTTCATTGTACATAGAAGTGCCTGAATGTACCACAGAAAGACAATCACTGTCATGGTGACCTTCCAGTCTGCACAGACAACCTCAAGCCCTAGATGTTCTTGACTCTGACTTGCTTCCTCTGGCAAAACTCCTGCCAAATTAATTTTGCCTTTGTGTGTAATTTTGAAAGTGTTGAAGGAAGCCATAGCAAGGGTATTTGCAGCTGGTGCTGTGGGCAAAGAGAACTATCTGCATCCTTTAACGTTCATTTTTACTAAAAATGTATATAAAGATTGATATGATAATCGATTTATATGCATAAAACCAAAGCCTATATCTCATAATTTCTAACAGATGACTTCTCGAGAATAAAGTGAACAAAATGTAAGCCAGAATCAGGTTTAAAGCCAAATTCTTTCGAAGATGTGTTGGCCAACACAGGTGTAGAAAGCATTAAACCAAATTAAGTCCAGCTGAATTTTCCTAACACACTGGGGTAGGTATTAATTATATTTTTCAGTGAGACCTTGGCAGTTATTAACTGCCAAACATCCCACCTCACAACCTGTTAGTGGTGAGCTCGAAACTGTCTGTCAGTGTAGCTGAACATGAAGTTTTCTGCAGTCAGTATTTCCTCACTCTTGCACCCATTATTTCCTTCATGTTTAATTGCATGCTTAGATTTTAGCCTGCCAGCCCTGAAACTACACGCAAACACTTTGGGGTGCAGGTGGCTTTCTCAGACAGCTGCCACAATCACTGTCCTGCCTAAATGTCCGGATAATCTGTACTGCAATATTGCTGTGGTAGAATTGCCTTCTAAGTGCTGAGCTACAGAGCAATTTAAAAACTGCAGTCAGGGGTACACCATCATAGAACACCACCTCCAAGTATCTGGAAAGTCAAGGTACTCTGAGGTACCGAGTCTGGCATAAGAAATGGGATGATAACGGGACATAGTCTGTAGTAAGTCAGCGACTTTCAGATGTGTAGTGATCAAAATTGTGAGCTCTCATAGATGTTTAGTCATGTGAAATGAGTCTGATCTCCATTGTTTGTCCGCATTTCAGACCCTTATCATAGTTAACAAATTCACTGGTTAAGGTCACAGGATCCTGAAAAAAGGTTGTAATTGACCCTGCCCACATTACAGCTTGGGAGAGAGGGTTTCGGTATCCTGGCATGATGTGTCAACACCTTGCAGCAGCATTATGCATTCTCCTGTTCCTCAGCATCGCTCCACTGACTTCATTTGAACTGCTCTGATTTATGCCTGCAAATATCAAAGAATACCTTTGACATGCCATCTGAATTCCACCCTCAGCATTTCCAGTTCAAAGTTCTGAAGCTGTTTCTAAATATAACAACAGTACATTCCAAATTCTCTTTCTTTTTGCATGTTTATTTATAAATGCATGCCAAGAAACTACAGAAAACGGGAATTTCTGTGTTGTTTATCATTCTGACAAAATCAATTGTGCTTTGGAATAAAGGTCACTTATATCGTGTTCCTCTTCCAAAATGACTCCTTCCTTTACTCGCATCTGTCAAAAGACAGAGGAAAATGTCTATTGTAGAACTAGCTGCTATAGTAAAAATAACAGTAAAAAATGGTGTTAAATGTTTGCTGGTTCCATCTCTTCTGATTGATTTCTATTTCTTTTCCAGACCTTTGGTGCTGATGATGTTGTGTGCACAAGAATTTATGTAAGAGAGTAAAACCATCAATTTACTTGTCATCTGGGATGAAGTGGAGAACTGTGAGAATCCCCAGTATAACGAGTATCTGTGTGTGCTGTTACTAATGCGGTGTTGTATGTGACCATGTGTGTTCTATCTGAACCCATATCCTCTGTTAAGTGTATTTTGCTTTCATTTTTCATCGCAGACACTATTCCTTTCCACTTTTATGCCATCATTTTTTGTGTCTGCTTTGTATTTTGTAGTTGTCACTTGCTATGGTTTCATCAATTATTAAACTTATTGGGCATAACTCACAGCTGGTTTGGGGTGTTTTTAATAGAAAACCCAGCAGTGCTTTGGTTAGGACTGAAACACTTTTACCCTCTGCTGAAGTCAAGTGTGGAGTTTCACTGCTGTTGGCTAGCACTGTGCTGTCAGGGAACACCTCCTAGGACAACACAAAGTGCTGGAAAGCAAGCAAATTGCTTTCGTGGAGCTGCAGGCTGCTCTCTCAAACCCAGAGCTCTGCGTCTTTCCTTCTTTCTATCCTCTCTCCTTGGGAGAGTTGTTGAGGAACAATTCCTGTATCCTGTGACTGCTGGGACTGTGATTCAGCAGAACCAGACAAGACAAGGGGATATCTCTACTGTCTTTCCTGCTACGTCTCTGAAGAGTGCCCAAACTTTCCTTGTTGAGACACTCATTGTCCAAGTACAAAACCCAGCTGCATCTATAGGACAAATAACATTGTGATCATGACTAATACTGTGATCACACCCAAGCACCTCAGGCCTGATCAGAGACTTTACTTGTTTACTGACAGCCTTTACTTGTTTGGGCCATAAAAAGATAAAGCTGAGGGAGGCCAGTTTTCTCCTACCTTCTCACTTGCAACAGAGGCAACTTCCAATGGCTTCACTCCTTCTCAGTGTTACAGCTCTCACCTTTGGTGACTCCAAATTTCATTCTTTGAACAACTAAGTATTTCACAAACCAAGGCCATAGACCGAATTTAATGTATTAATTCTGGCTCAGAGTTCTGGCCACAGCACTATCAAGAATTAGATTCAAGCTAAACAGACATTCCTCTAATGAACCAGAAACTCTTCTGTTCTTCAGCCTTGGAAATATCTGGAGATTGAGATTAGGAGCACTATTTATTTCAGTGCAATATCCAAGTTTATCTGACGGAATTTCAGCTTTGCGAAATAATTTATCTGCTTCATGTCACCCAATCATAGAAGATTTTTAAGAGGTTTGGTGTTAGCTGAGTATATGCCCTGTTCATTGGACAGTGCTCAGTATTCAGAATGGGAAAATGGGTCCAAATCTTCATCGTTTTGGGACACCCATGGGAAATAAATTACTTTGTCTCTTCATTGCTCGCATAGCTATGCAGAGAAACCCCCTTTGATAGGATTGTCAAACTGCTATGGAGAAATCAGCCATCTGATTTATATATTGCAGCGTGAACTACAGCAGCACAACAGGAGAGAAACAGACAATGTTTTCTGTCTCCTCTGCTCTGACAGGTCACACTTTCTCTGCCATCAGCACTCAAGATACAATATTGCAGTTGAAAAGGAGGATCTTTTCCTTCCACACTCTTAACCTTAAGCCAAACCCTGTTTTCAAGACCTGGGTTCACTTGGTACCAATTAGATACACTGCGTGTGAGCTCACATTGAAGCATGGGCTGAAATTAGTTCATTGTGGTTTGGATCCAGTTGAAGCTGCCTCCTGGTAAGAATGAAACCATGAGAGGGAATGACAGTGATCTATCTTCATTTTCTATCTTCTTTTAAGATTCAAATTAAAATAGCTGTGTGTTTTTTTCCAAACAAAATCCGTTTCAGGAGTATCTGGACCTGCTTGTGCAATCAGTTGTGCCAAAGGGACTCCATAAAAAGCTCCAGGCTGAGCTAGCTCAAAGCTTCTCAGCGAAGCAGACAAAACTATGTCTTGCCACATCAAGGCTGAGAAGCAAATAGCACACCATGTTGCAGGACATGCTGGCACATGCCATATCCTACAGCAACAGGAACCCACCAACACCATAGCGTGCTTTGCCTCCACCTCCCAGAAGGTGGGTGGTGGATGTGGGGCTGGTACAAGCTGATGAGCAAGTAGTAGAGCCAAAGCTAATAGGTAGCAGGACTGTTTTGCCATTCCAGAAGAATGCTACTCTTCTTTTCTACCTGGTCTAAAACAGCCCTGATGCACGATTTGTGAGGGTTCAGCAAGGTATTGGCATGAAGCTCACATTGTCTAGAGCAAGTGAGTGCATTCAATGGAAGCAGTGATTTCTGTGTTTCATTTCTAGGAAGGCTCATGCTAAGCTGTTGTGCTGCTCAAGCAAATATCCTTCAGAAAGCTTTCCCATCAACTGGAAAATACCAAGTCAGGTTTCCATCCAGTTGGCAACTACTATCCAAGTAGTAAAAGCATGAGCTGTGTAGCTGGGCTGTAGAAGTTATGATTAAAACCAGGCTCTTGAGATATGAGCTACCCTGCATAACTGGGAGCTTTCTTCTTCCAGGGTTGAAACTGTTCCCCTAAGCTTCATTTGCAGTCTGGCATGACAGAAGTTCCCTTCTTTAGTAATTCCATTGTGGGAGCTTCATCACTTGATTGACTTTCAAGGAGTTACATTAGTTACTGGTGCAAGGGTAAATTCATATGAACAGAGACTAGAATTGGTCCAGGGTGTTAGTTTTATGGCTCATTGTTGAAGCAGTGCAAAGGCCAAATTGTATTTTGTGAGCCCTCCTGGATTTAAAAGCTCTTCAAATCTAGGCACACAAGGGTTTGGAATGATTTTACTGGCCAAAAGCCTTGCAGTTGTCTCCTGCCTTTCTTTTCTTTGCTGAGATTAAGCTCCTTTGGGAACATGGAAGTTGAACAATGCCAGTGTAGCTAAGACAGTTTTATCACTTTTAGTGTAAAAAAACATGAATTCATCCCTCCCCAGATGTGGTGACGGAAGCAGAGTAGAGTTACTGTAGCTGACATCCAGAAAAACTTAGTCTCACAATGTCTGAGTGTCAAACAGTTGCTTAGCAGAACAGGATCCTGAAAGCTTCGGGCGGCCACTCTCTGCACGTAGGAGGGATGGACTTTTACAGGCAAAGGTGCTGGGACAAAGGAGCACCTAAATGGTTTGCTGATTACTTGATAGCATCTGAATATCTGAAAAGGGGCCCAAGGATTTTATGGATACTGCCTTCAAGATTCCAATCAAAGAGACTCTTTCTGCATCACTAGGTCTTTTAATCAGGCCTGTGATGGAACAAGCAGTGGGGCCAGGGACAGAGCCTGGCTCAGTTATGTGTATCAGTGAGCAAGCTGAAACTTCCTTCCCCTCATGCTGCTGTGTTCTAATTAGCACTTTGTCACTTGACCTGGAAGCACAGAGTGGATACAAGCATAGCATGGTGACAAACATAGCTCACCTTGGATGGCAGCTGGTTGACCACTGTATGCATCACCACCCAGTGCATGTCTGCTGCTTTGCAAGTCTCTGTGCCCAAGAAGTTAGACTTCCGAGGTCTGCTAGTGCTCAATGGCCAAATGACTTTCAGGCTTTGTTGCTAAGAGCATTCTGATCATGTAAGTGAATGCATTAGGGAACTCTTCCCTGCAAGTTTATTACATACCCCTATTTATGTTGGAGAGCATTCCTCTAACACAAAGCCAGCAGAATACAGATAGCTAAGAAGGTGAGAAGTCTTCCTGAAATCTAAAAGCTTTGTCTTGCTGTTGCCTAAACAGTCCTGCTGATTGAATGGATACAGTACAAGTGAGTATTCAGTGGCCTAAACATAGGTATCAACCCCTGTTTTAGAAGACCTACGTATCCAAGAGATCTGCACGAAGCTGGCATATAACACATGCTCTGCATGAGGTCTGTGCCTTTTTTTGAAGAAGCAGCATCAGACCAGGAGAAAACCTGAGGGCATTGCAACACAGATGGCTGTGAAAAGGCAGCTGTGCCCAGCCTATGTGCCTGCAGGCTTGGAATCATGCTGTGCACTGTATTGACCACACTGATAACTGACTGCTACAGCAAGGCAAAGAAAGGGTTATACAGATACCTGCAGCAACTTGGCACATGTGTAACATTTCACAAAACCAAAACTTCCCCACATGAGTGGAACACTAGGGTACAACAGTCATATTCTCTGCCCTGGGGCATAAGAGTTCACTTTAGGATTTTCTTTTGATTTTCCATATTTTGTTCTTACGCTGCTTTCATAAAACATTTATTGTTTTTCTTTTCTCCATGAAAATTAAACATCCTAACCGGTAAACAGATCAGGCATTGAAGTTGGATTCAAAATAATCCACTGTGGGAAACCCAAAATATGAAAAAAACCCTCAGTCAGAAATGTGATATTGCATTGAATCATTCAGTTCGTGTGTACCTGTACCACCAGCTACAGAACAGAGCTGTCCCGCTGCACACTGTATGCCCTGGAGACCCAGTGCTGCTTTCCCTCAACTGATCACTTTTTGCACTCTGAGTGCATAGAGATCTCTTTCTGCTGACATAAAGCTCCAAATCCCACATGGCTGCAGAATCCAGAGTCTTTGAGTCCTGTTAAAATATGTGCTGTCTGAATACTGCCGTGTCAGAAGTGGAACAGCCTAAGGTGTTCTCTTTGGTATTACAGATGGCTGGATGGCTGGCTAACGAGTCTGCTGAAAAAAATGCTGTTATTAAGAATAGGCGGGAATAGATGTCATAGTGCTTTCTGCTAATATCTTTATTTTTAACTTTCTTCACATTGCCTCCCAGAACATGAGGTCAGTTTCGATCAGAAGCAAAAAAACCCCAGGATTCTTGATACTTTAGTTCACTCTTATTTGACTCTTACTGTACTCTGCTAAATCAGAGTGAAGTTCTGAAACCAGGGATTTTGCCTTGTATCTCTCATTCTGGTTCCATCTGAGGGCCTGCCAGTGATGCTCTGCTGACATCATCTGTGGCAGGCACTCATGGTTTTTTGTCATATTCTCAAAACAAAGAGGAATCTGGCAGCTAAACTGTTTTACAAGTACAATATGCTGTCAGAATTTGCTGTATGGTCACACATTGCAACTAGAGGGGAAGGTGGTCAGGCTTGAAATGGTTTCTGCAGCGGGCAATACCAGAGTCTTCAGTAGATACTGCTATCTCCCACACAAACCAGCTGCTTACTGGGAGAGGCACTTCAGCTGCTCGAGCAGAAAGGAGGTGACAGTCTAGGTGACTGACTGAATTACAGATTTCTTAAAAGCGCTGTAAATACGAATCTCAATTTTAATCTCCACAAG